CTCATTCAGCTTTATGGGAACAGGTGTATCAGCTTATTGTTAATAGATTAGGAAAGACTGCAGTCCAGCATGTCAGAGGTCATCAGAAGACAAAGAATAAAGAAGGACTATGGACTAATTGGGCAGATGCAGTGGCAAAAGAAGTATCCATAAAGGGAAAGGAATGCCACCAGGTGGCAGTGCTTACTTGGCAAACTCAAAGAAAATAAGATGCAATAAGCCTAGGTGATTTAAAAGAATGGCGGGAAAATGACAAAGACTTGAAAAGCCTTCTAGGCAGAGATGATGTAATACAACTAGAAGGTGTGATTTGGAGAATTAACCCAACTACTCAGGCTAGACAGTAGGTAGTTCCAGAAGAAGTCATCTATGAATTAATACAGTTTGTACATTAGAAAGGACACCTAGGGTGGAAATGTCCATGGAGATAGTCTCTCAAACAGGATGGTGGCCCTCTGTAAGCCAAGATGTCAAACAATGGGTAGACAATTGTTTGCCCTGTGCCATGGTGAATGCTGATTCTAGTAAAACAAAGGTACAACTGAGGCATCAGAGGATTAATGGGCCTTAGTCAAGAATACAGGTGGATTACATCAGACCCCTGCCTAGTACTAATAATGGAAACAGGTATTGCTTAGTAGTAATAGATCTTTTTTTCAAAATGGATTGAAGCCATCCCAACTAGATGTAACACTGCTAATATAACTGCAAAGCAGTTATTAAACATGTTTTCATGGTAGGGAGTACCTAAAGAAATAGGTTTGGATCAGGGTTCTCATTTTGTTGCAGAAATTATGAAAGAACTATGTTCCATGGTAGGTATTGAACAAAAGTTTCATATTGCCAGGCTCCCTCAGAGCTCAGGTAAAGTAGCAAGAACCAACAGAACATTAAAGAAGTTGTTGGTTAAAATGGTAAATGTGATGAAAAGTATTGGGATGAAAAACTACCAGTAATTTTGATGGCACTTCATACCAATATGAACATTGTTGAAGTCTTTTACTCAATGTTTTTCTAATGTTTTATTAGTTAGTTGTTGAGATTTTATGTATTTTTGTGCCCCAAGGGACTGTTCAGTCTATTCAAGCTAAACCATGGCCATATCAGGATATAACCACAGTACAGATGGGACTGGATTTGCCACCTTTGCAGCTAGTTTTGTTTCATCCTAACCTACACATTGTATTTCAATCTATTAAGAAACACAAGCATGAAACTGTGGTTCAGATCAAACATAACAAAAAAGAAGTACTGACAATATTAGAAAAGGTCTGGAATACTGTACAGCATTCTTGCTGGGAAACTTGGATTGGATGTGTAGCAAAACCCCCAGTTTTCC